AGCGTGAGGACAAGAAACACCTTGCGGGCTTTGAGGCTACCAGTCCATGCTTCTCTCGCTGTCCCTACGACTTTCTGTATCGCGCTTACTGTTGAACGTCCTTTCCGGAAGCCATGTTGGTTCGCGGCAAAACCTCCAGCACGGTCTATTTCGTTGCGAAGTCTCCCTTGTATGAGCTTCTCGAGCAGTTTTCCAGCAATGTCCAGCATACAGAGTGGTCTAAACGACGAAGGTGTTATGGGGGTTCCCTTACCTTTGTCTAAGAGAACCAATCTCTACCGTTTCCAGACCGCGGGAAACGTGCCAGTTGCCAAGCATGCGTTGTAGGTGTTCAGGAGTATGCTTTACCCCAGAGGTCATTGTCGAGATCATTGCAGATCTCTTTCCACAACTTCGCTTTACTTGCTTTGATGGCTCGGTTTAGCGTCTTTTTGGCCTGCTTATAATCTTTTGAATACAAGTCCTGGCTTGGGGAGCGTTTCGCGGCTCTCGTTGCTCGGCGACGTAGCTGATGGCATATTTTGCGAAGTTCTGCTATGTCTGCTGACCACCAGTACGCCGGCCTGTGGAAACTCTGATTTTTCAGCCGCGGCATAGAAGCGTCATATGCGGCAGCAATTTCCTTCATCGTATTTAGCACTGCCTTTTCCGTCTCGCTGCTCGTATCCGGAGTCGGGTTGTTCTGAAGAATAGACCAGCTTCGTGCAAGTGAAGCTTTCAATGCCTCTGGATCAAGCCTTTTGGCATTCCACTTCCGCTTAGAAACGTCGCATTGTGAAACCGGAGCAAATGCCAATCCGACGCTGAATGTCACGAACTGGTGATCACTGCCACTGTATTCTTCGGATACTGTCCAGTCTTCGATCATGTTGGCAGTCCTTGGAGTCGCCAATGAGATGTCGAGGATGGATTCTTGGTACCCTGGTCTTCTAAAGGTCGTGGTGCTCCCGGTGTTCAGCACTATGAGGTCGAGTCTAGCCGCGACGTCAGCGACCTCGTTTTCTCTGGTGTCGGAGAAAGCAGCGCCCCACTCAGCCGATTTAGCGTTGAAGTCTCCGGCTACGATAACTTCACCGTCGAACTTAGTGACCGTATCTTCTATATTTGCCAGTTTCTGTCGGAACACACTAATCCCTTCGTTAGGTGAGAGATAGACGCTCATGAAGTAGGTTGTGGGGGTTTGAATCCAGACAAAACCTGCTCCACTTCCGCTGTTGTTGACGGTAACGTTCTTTGTATTCACAATCCAAATTGCTGCCATGTCCGTTTTGTCTGCGAACCATGTTTTACCTTCGATGTTTAGATATTGCTCGCAGATAAAGCAGACGTCAATTTTATCTTCAAAAACACGCTGACGCAGCAGGTTTTGCGCCAAGGCGCACCTATTCAGGTTGCCTTGTAGTATGCGTATCATTTCTGACCTCTCGTGGCTTCTGCAAATGCTTTGCGGAATGCCTTGCAAGCTCCAGTGCCAGAAATGTGGCATAGACCATCCTGGGCATCTTTGTCCGGAGCACAAAGGAAGCATTTTAGCTTCTCCGTGCAGTTTACGGCCTTGTGGTTCTCTCCGCCACATTTGTAGCAGCACCTGCTTCTGTCTGGTCCCGCACACTGACGTGTTTGGTGTCCATAACCAAGACATTTAAAGCAACGTGTTACTTTCACAACTGGGCGTATACGACAGTTCACCAAACCGATCCTTATACGGGCCTTATCAAGGGTCTTAATCGCACTGGGCTCGTCTACTTCGCAGAAGGCTGCCCGATTATCTCGTGGTGTGGGTTTTGTCAAATTTACCCGTTTGACCTCCAGGTTGTCAGTGAATTCATGTTTGAGTGCTTCACGGACTTCGCTCTCGGTAGAGATTTCGTCCAAGTCGAGGATCTCGATCGTTGTTGTTGGTGTTAGCGTCTTGACTGTGCCGATGTTTGCAGTGGCTGCCTTTACTGCATCGGTTAATGCCTTGCTGTCTTCGGTCTTTCGAGCCATTTCAAGGAGAACGCCTCCGTGTTTCGTCTTTTTAATAGACTTTATGTCTACGCCCGTCTCGACAGGGCTTACCTTGGCCTTGATTTCCTTGAGGAGATCGGCGTATGTTCGCCCTTCAGCTGGTTGGACAAGCACAGCTTTAGTTCTTGTCTTCTTCCTCCTCGGTTTCTTCGAGCCACCGTTGTTTGGCTGATTTTGGGCTGTATCAGATTGAGCCGCTGGCTCCTGTTCTTTCTTCTTCTTGTTTTGTCGAGTCACTTTGGTCCAGGTATCATCCCGAGCTGTCTTTTTCTGTGCTGGCTTGTCAATTTCTGCGGAAGGGCTGGGCGTGGACAGCTGCCTCTTCTTGTTGTTGCCCCCTCCTTGCTGTGATAATTTCTTAGGGGTGACCAGAGGTGGCTGTGGTTTTTTGCTCAGACTCGGAGATGTTTGAGTCGTTGACGCTGACGTTGTTGGTGATTTGTTGGCAAGCCTATAGGCTTATATGACGTACTAATAGACGTAACCAATTTTCTGATCTCATGATGGAGATTCTTCTTGTCTTTTATGAAGTCGGCTAACTCTTCAATCTTGCTGCCGAGCCTCTCCATTGGTGACTGTTGGCTGGTGACAGTCGGTACAGAGTTAATTCTTCCTCGGTAGGTTTGATTTGTGACAGGAGCAAAAGGTCTTCCACTTTTTGGAGAAACGTTGCTCAGCTGTCCGTTCTCCTCCATCTGGGCTATTTTCGTACTCCCTGTAGCATTTCTAAACAGCAGAGCCATGGGGTTCACCCGGCTGTCGTAACGGTCGCTTGATAACGACGAGTTCAGGCCCGTTTGCATGCCTTCCGTCGCCGGCACTGAGGTATCCATCCTCTGTACTGTAAACGATGTTTGAAAATCTTCTGACACTACCCGGAGAGCACGTGTAGGGTGTAAAAGCAGATCGAACCTACGGACGCGAACAAGTCTACCCTCATGTATGTGTGTGTGTGTGTGTGTGTGTGTGTGTGTGAATTGACTGAACTTAGATTTTGAATATACTTTGGAACGATTCGGACCGGTAGATTTTGAGAAATCGCAAAAAAACTACATAAAAAAATTTTTTCAAATGGGGTTTTTTCGAAATAACTTTTAAACGGCTTTACCGATTAATTAAAAAAACTAATCAGCTCTTAACATCGAAAAACCACGTCAATCGCCGCCAGTCCGGTGAAATCGGTTGATTCGTTCGTGAGTTATCGTTGACGAAAGAAAACCGAAAAAAAAAAAGTGTTTTGTCGGAATTACTCCGAAATTTTTCGTTCTATCAATTTAAACTTGAAGATTCTTCATGAAGCTTAAAAAACTGCGTCGAATGCCACCAACCGCGTGAAAATCAGTTCATTCATTCAAAAGTTGCGATTTAAAAATTTAAAAAATAGTGTTTTATTAAACTTCTATCAAACTTTTGAGGTCGAAGAAGCTCGGAAAGCTCAAAATAACACACAAATTGTATTTATGAGCTCGAAGAGCTCAAAAACGTCATAAGTGGTATTTCAAGCGTTTATATAGGTATAGAATTGGCGGGAAGTTTCAGGGGTGGCCTTTAGGGTTTATATTCAGGGTCAACCGATTTCCTAATTTTTTTTCGTAAAACTTTTTTTTATGATAAAAGATAACTTCCCAACAAATTTCATCGATAACCAAAGTGGTCAATTCTAACCATTGGTCGACATGGAATGACCCATTTACGGAATAATTGAAAATAATAAGTCAATCAACCGTGCTAATGGCTTCAATGAAAAATTAATGTTGACTCTCATCTGCTTAAGGTTACAGATTTTGATTCATCACCACTGTGACCCCAAATGAATCTTGTATGTATAACAGACATAAGAACGATTTTTAAATAAATAAATTGTATCATTGAATTAATTGAAAAAATCGAAAAAATTGCTTTTGATGAGGATGATAATTTTTCAGAAATTAACAAGTTTTTTAATAAAATTCACAATTTTACGAAAAGTGATTACAAAAATATAAAAATACAGATTTTCAATGAGCACGTAATAACTCAAAGTTTTTATTCTATTAAATATTATTGATATAATTACTTCTGTTGTCTTATTTAAAATATTATTTCCAAGTCTTCGGTTTATTTTAATTGTGTGAGAATAAAAATGAAATAAAAAATAATACAACCATTTCTTTCGAAAATTGAATATATTTTCTAAAAGGTTTTTTAAAGAATAAAGTAGAATAAAATATTATGATAACAATAAGGGATTGAATAGATAAAATTTTTAATGTTATCAATAATTTACTCTGAAATAAACTGACAATTCTAAAGTAATATTATAGAAGTTAATTTTTAAAATGAGCTGAATCATTTGATTTGTTGAAGAATGAATTAAAAAATTTTTTTAAGTTATCATATGCCTTTACTTTCTTTTTTTTTAATTAACTTTTGAATTCGGCAACATATTGAATTTCCAAAAAATTAAAGTAGCTTCATATTAAATAAATCCAATCTTAAAAATTTGATAAATATTGACAAATTCATTTGCTCACAAGTTATTCGTTAAAATTAAATTTATTATAACTTTTTCGAAATTTTACATTAAAACTATTAATATTTTTGAAAATTTGTCTTAATCACATAATAAAAGTATCAAGACTAATTTTTTTAAGTAGATTTTTTTGATTAACACTGCAGCGCTGTTACATCGGTGATACAACTTTTTCGTATTTTTATTCACAACAACAGTTCATCGATATAATTAACAGTTATTTTTTTCTGGAGTAAATAACACGTAATTAAAAAGAAAGCTGATTAAATTTTTAAGCAGGAAGTTAATCACCATCGTCTGAGAAATACGCAGAAGAATTCATTTTTAAAAATATACTTTGTAGCTAATTAATAATCTACAAGTGTTTGGGGATAAATATGCACTGTATGGATCATTATTTTTAAGTCGATAAATAATTTATGAGTTTATGTAGACTTTTAAGTACGTAAAGAGATTATATATATAATATGTCGGAATTGATAGAGATTATCTATATTATAAAAAGATTGATATAAAAGACAGATTTATGGTTCCATTGCACAGTAACAAAATGTTTCGACTAATAAGTATTTGTATATTTTCAATATTGGTTAATCTTGTGATTGCTAAAATACCACCGAGTTTTTCACTATGGAAAGAACCAGCCAAAAATGCAGGTAATGAAAAATTAAAATTACAAAACAAAAGCCTGTTAACTGTTTAAAATTTTATAAAAACAATACAAATGCTTGAACAAAATGAATTTGAAAGAGTTAAATCTATGTAAATGTATGTCTATACTTTTAGATTTTTTTTTATTATTCTTTAAAAATTGTTTTTATTAAAATATCTTTATACCTAAAAAATCTATGGACAGCACCAGTTAATATTACAATAATATTACAATGATCAATACTTATTTTCTTCACAGTTTATTCACGATCCCTGGGTTCACCGCCTGTACCTGGAATAGATACAATTAATATTCCATACGTACCAAAGCCTTTATTTTTTCCAAAATTTGTTGATCCAAAAGTAATGATTGCGCAAAAAACAGAATTACTGAAGAATCTTTTTGGTGGGTTAGGTCCAGTAAATTACCCGATAACTGATCCATCTGATGATTCTTTAACTTTTGAAAAAACAAAACCTTTTCTCTATGCAACAAGTAATGAAATAGAACCATTAGGAGATACTGGAAAACTCGAAAATATTTTAGAAAACGACAAAAAAGAGGCTGACAATGTTAAAAGAGGTATTTTTGGATCTAAATTTGGATCATTTGGACCTGTAAATTCAAAATTCTTTCGTTCATCTCCGAAATTTCTGTCAGGATTAAGCTACTCATATCCCGAAACAGAATTCAATGATTTTGATTCTACCAACTCATTGGCTCGGCATAAGCGAAGCATCATGTCACCAATGACTAACGTCCCTACTGATCAAGGAGAATTTTCTCCGTATCCAGAAGTTGACCCAATATTTCAGTACCCAGAGTACTATAACTACAGTGCTCCTCAACCGTATTTTCCAAGTGTATTGGGACCTTTTGGATCTTATCCAGGATACGGACCGTTCTATGCAACTCCAATGATTGATCCTGCTAGTATGTTTACTGCTAAAAAAACAGCATTTTTAAATCAATTTTTTAAAAGTCTTGGCCCAAGTGCTGCAAATCCTGAAACAGACATGCCATATAATAATCCTGAAAGCTTTTGGTCACCATCAATAAATGCAGAAGTGACAACTGAAATTCCTGTGCCTAAAAGTACTATTGTTCCTCCGGGTTTTTGGGCCCCGTCTTCAATTGTTCCAGCTCCTGGAGAATACACGACAAAGGTATCTTTTTTTTTAGATAAATTATTCAAAAGTATTGCAAATAAGACAGCTGCGAAAGCTGCTGCTTCTAGTAAGATTTCACCCAGTATAATGGCAAGATCTATTAATGATCTTCTTAACGATCCTTCAAATCGTGTTGCTCGGTCTATTGATGATGTCCAGACCTTATCAATTGCCAAGGATGCAATTGTTGATTCGATTATCGCAGAACTTGGATCTCTCAAAACAGATATGTTGAATAATTTTGATGATTTTACTATCGCTCAACAATTATCAACGGCTTCAATAGGAAAAAACAGTGCCAAACCTTTTAAAACAGGATTTTCAGGATTATATAAATCCACATCGACCGATTTTAGTCTACCATACAAACAGAAAATGATGGTATTAAGTAAAGTGTTTGATTCTCTAACTGAACTTCACAAAAATATCAGTTCAGCTGTGTCTGATGCTATTAAAAGTAATATGGATGAAGAGTCTGATAAAAGTGATAAATACTCTGAGCAAAAGAGTATGTTTAATGAAACTTCTGCAGATACTGTTCAGAACAAAGTGATGAAAATGAATTCACCAATGGCTTATCAAGATCCTTCATTATTTTATCAGGCATTTTCTCCAAGTTATCAACAACCATTCCCCTTTTATCAACCTCCAACTCCGGTCCAACCTACTGAACCTTTCTGGATGGCTTTTGTAAAAGCTAAAAGCACAACCCCGAAACCTAAAAAAATTAAAGGAACTAAAAGAGAGGTTGAAAGTGATTTTGAAAATTATTATCCAAGTGAAGATTACGATAATGAAGACGAGAATAAAAGGGAAGAATATAAACGAGCCGTGAAGATGTCTATGAGACAAGGTTTGCCACCTGGAACAGTTGAAAACATTCAAGCTGGCGGTGGTTCTAAGTCAGGACATCAAGGAGGTGGAATGAATCTTTTTGTAAGTCCAATTATTTAAGTTTTTTATTTTTATTAGAATTAATACACAAAAATTTTTATAAATTTTAGCTGAAAGGTAGGTGTATGATAATATATTAAATTTGATTACAAATAAAAATACCACAATAATTGATGGACTAATAAAAATGTTAGAGTAAATATATATTTTTAAAATATTTATAAATATAATTCAAAAATTGCTATTGCTATTTATTCAAGTGAAGTAAAATGATGAGTTTCTTTACTTTTTATTCAAGTGTCAATCATTATTTAATTTCACGTTACAATTTGTTAAGTTAATACGATATCAAAGAGCTTAAAAAACGTTTCAACAATATTGGTTTTAAAAATTTGATAAAAATACTCAAATGTGTCAAAAATAATATTTTCAAAAATTTTGATTAAAACGTTATTGCTCATTACTTATTGCTTATTATAATCCAATTAAATTATGCAGATTTTTTTGAAGTAGTATTGTCGGTTTTAGATTTACAGTTCAGATATAATGAATTTTTACATATTAGTAGTAGCTTATGGTAATAGGATAATGAACACGATAAATTTTTTAATAGCTAAATAATGAATTTATTGAATAAAAAAATAATTAAAATACTGACTAAAAATGGATTTTTTAAAGTATAATTTCAAGGAAATAATCTTTTCTTTGTTTCACATTAATTATAAAAATTTACCAACGAGCTTTTGAATTACTGGTACTTGAACTAGATAGAAAAATTTATTCTAGATAAAAACATTATTTAAAAAAATATCTATCCTGGCTGAAGACTGTTACTTTATTTAGTTCAGAAAAAATTTCTAAGATTACAATTTTTAAATTATTAAACTTAAGTTAATAAAAAAATAATGGCTTAAACCAAGAAAAAAAAACATTCGTTGGAAAAGTAAAGTTGATCTCAACTACAGAACATATATTGTCGACAAATATATTTTTTGGGTAAAGACAATAGTCTTCAGGCAAGAGAACTATGTTCAAACTAAATTAGAAAAAATTTTTAAGATTTTAAATCACTCTAACCATTGAAAAAAATATTTATTTAAATGAGAAAATTTTTAATTCGAACTTAAAAATTTGTAAAATTACATAATTTTAATTTTTTAAACACTAGATAATGTTGGTACGTTTTTTGTTATAGAACCGACACAATTATGAAGATAACTATCCAGATTGGAAAAAGTGGTCTGACTGGGCTGACAATTATCACAGTTCATATAGAGATCATCAACATAAACATCATCACTAGAATTCTTTTTTTATCATCTTCATGAATTTTAAGATAATTTTATTCTAGTATTTTCACAATTTATTTTTAGATATGTAATAGAAACGATTTATTCAAATAAAGAATTATCGGCATGTAATTATTATAGTTGTTTCATCATAACTTTCAGCAGTATACATCCATTTACATCTTATTATTTTTTTGCTAACAAATATTTAAATATATTAAATAATTTGAAACACTTATGAACGCAATCCTGCATCAAGTGCGTTGCTTTATAAATACTACAATCAGCAATGCATTGCACGCAGGGTAGCTTTCATATGTTAAAAATCATCATCGACCAACAAAATATCCAAAATATCTAGATATTGACTTATAGGAATAGATAAAAATATTTTTTTCATTATAATAAAACTAGATTTATTCAAAAGAATTATACAAAATTGTTTGTAATATTAGGCATTATTTTTAAACTTTATATTCAAGTATTAATTAATTACTTATTTATAACATTATTTTTCAGTTTATTTTTTTTAAATATCACCTTATTTTGTTTACACCCATTATTAATAATTCTATTTTGTTATCTATTCTATATATCATTAAATATGATATTATAACACTCCCTAAAGTTACTAAAAATGAGATCCCTTCGAAAATTAATTTTGGAGCAAAGATTTTCCACACCATTAAATGGCGACAAAGAAATGTCGTTGCCAACATGCAGCCAAAAGTCTATAAATAAAAAAATATCCAAATAATGAATTAGTATTATACACTATAAAAAATAATGTGCCAAAACCAGTCCAATTGTATGTTGGAATTCGTACGTATAAAGTGAATGTTTTATTTCAACATAGACTACCTACTTATTTTATTTAGGGCCAGTTTTTCAATCCAGAATACAATTTTATCCAATGATGAAATAAATCTATATATATATATATATATCATGTATATAAATATAGGTACTGGCAATAATAATTTTATCCTAGATAAAATTTTATCTCGGATTGAAAAACTGGCCCTTGTAGTAAAACTTTAAGATATCAGAGAAAATTCAATACTTTTTAAGAGTTATCTGTACAAACACGTTCTTGTCTTATGCCAAAAAAAAAAAATAAATAGCGAATTAACGTGTTTTTTGTGTTTACTAATAAATTAACCTATTATTAATGATTATTAAATAAAATAGAGAATCGTATTGATTCGACACTATATTATCAACACTAAGCCAGTTTTTCAATACAGGATAAAATGATTATTACCGGCTTATCAAATGATTATTACACTGAAAAAAAAAAAAAAAAAAAAAATTAACTTGATTCGAGAAAAAAATTCTTGAACTAAAGAGATTATTCTACAGAGCTTCACTGTCTTGATTCAAGTAGAAAAATTTATTAATTTTTTAGAGAAATTTTTTTTTTTTATTCGAGTAAATTTTACTTGATTCAAGAATTTTTCGTATCAACTAAAAACATTGAAACTCTTCAAAGTGATTTTCTAGGTTCAAGGATTTTTCTCTTGAGTCAAGTTAATTTTTTTTTTCCAATGTATATACATGAAATATGTAGATGATGTTAAACTTTTATCCCGGATTGAAAAACTTGTTCTAAAAGTTTATCACGGAATAATTTCCAACATAAATTTTTTTCACAGTACACTTAGAAAAAAAAATACTTATATTAATAAATTTTCTTGACACAATATCATATATATATACTTGATATTTATTGAGAATATATTTTCTTATCTGAAAAATTCGTTAAATTGACAAAAATAATTTTATTTAATAATTCAAATAAAGCTATTCGTATGTTTACCAATTATAATGAACCTAGATGTTAATATTCTTTTTTCAATTAATTAATAAGTCGAGTGGTTCCGTTCATTCGAAACAAGAAATCTTTTTTTGGACAGTATTTTTTCTTTTTCGTAGTATACGGCATAAACGCAATGTAATATTAGTTGACATAAATAAAATAGATTAATAATTGACTTACTCGCAATCCATGAAGTAGTATATATTTTCCAGCAACTAAGAATAGTGAGTTATGAAACGTTGATAATCGATCGAACAGAACTAGTTCACCTTTCTTCAATTCGTCGTTGACACGAAATTGAACTTTTGAAAGACTTGGAATCATAACAATTATTGTCGATGGCACGATTACTAATAAAGGTAATGTAAATCCCAATAGTATATGGGACCCAAATGTATTTATTCCTAAAAATAAAATTAATGTCATCAAAATTAAAAAAATATATTTCCGTTGTAATAAATAAAATGTAAGATGCTGCTTAAAATAAATTAAGCGATCAAAATATTCACATAAAATTACAAAAGATTTTATGAAGATATTAAGTTATAGTTTAAAAATATAATATAGCATAGCCTTCTAATCTTATAAATGATTTTTTTTTATTTTTTTGAGAATGAAAAAAAAATTTTTTTAAATAAGATCTCGTATCGTAGGATAATTGTTCATTTTTCAATAAAGTCGTAGATTGAAATACTTTTAAGTTATCGATATATTGAAAAAAAAAAAAAAAAAAATAATTAAAAAATAAAGAAAATAAAATTTTGGAGAGCATATTAAACCGATATTATCTTCTTAAAACTCGAATTAGTGATAGTAACTATTATTTTCTGATAGTTTATATTTTAGTTAGTAATTAAAAATTATTATTGTCTTAAATAAAAGTTTACTGTCATTTAAAGCTGTCATTAATATAAAATATAATAGTTTTATTGAGTTGTATATTTTTTTCTGAACTGTCACGTAGTAAACTTGCCCCAAAAATATTGTCGAAATAAAAAAAAAAATTTTTTCTGGCTTTGCACAATTTTTTAACTTAATTATTATAATTTATTTTTAAATAATATTAATTGCAATACAATAAATTACCTATCAAAATAGTTGGCACAATATTTGTATAAAAAAAACCATGAGTTCCTACTAGTGCAGCGTCCCATTGAATGGTTGAAAACGTTGGTTGATGTCCAGTACCATAGAAAAAATATTCAGCAATTAAAAACCAACAAAAAATTGCTGAATTTGGAATTTGAAGAAGCTCCGCTATTATGAAATAAAAAATGATAATCATTGCAACTATTACTGTAAAGTGTTTTGTAAAATAAAAAACTTACTAAAATCAGTAGCATTTTGGTGTCGTTCCATACCAATAATAACCAGAACCGCAGTACATGTAATAAACATTAAAAAAATACTAGGAGCTAAAAAACGTCCAAGTAACAAAGCATCAAGGAGTGTTATGAAAACACTCAAAGTAATAAAAGCTGCACTATAAACGGTGCCGAGACCATAAACAATCGGAGTATTGTCATCATCATCATCATCATCATCATCATCATCATCATCATCATCATCATCATCATCATCATCATTATCATCATCATCATCATCATTGTTTCTATTTGAATAAAAAAGTTTTTTCACTTTATTAAAAACTTTAGGTATAACATTTTCATTCTTATAGACGGTAAGTGTTCGTTGATTTTGTTCTAAAAAAAATATTCCAAGTGGTTGGATAAATAATATAGAAACAGAAATAACAATACAAAAATAAATTATTATGGCTATTATAGCTAATGCCTTCATTTCAAATTCTGAATTGCTTTTTATTTGGTCGTATGTAGGTAATCTTTCCAATACCCAATAGCTGACAATTAAACAGGCTGTTAAAACTGGACACTTACGTGCAACTATTATGTTAAGTGAAAAACCAGATAAATTTCCACAATTTCTTAACCACATTTTTACAATAAAAATGTATAATCCTAAACTCACCAAAGAAATCATTATCAATATTCTTTCTAATTGATTTGATGTTATTGAACCAGTTTTTCCTAAAATGAAGGGCCCACATGATTCACGATTTTGTTCTTCACGACATCTCCAATAGTAACTAGATAATCTTACTGCTAGACATATTATTATTCCACAGACTATCAACAATACTTTGTGCTTGTATGGAATTTCAGAACTATTAATAACACATTTTCGATATTTTCTATCATAATTATTATTAATATTATTATTTACATTGTCTTTTTTAATAATAGAATGAATTGATAACCAAACTTGTGTTATCAATAAAAATGAAAGTATTTTATTCTCTTCAATTACATAACTATTTGAAAATAATCCAAGAATTATCAAAATTAATATTATTCTAACAGAATTATTTAATGTATTATTCTTGGAATTATTATTCCAAGTTTTTAATTTCGTACTCCAATTTCTAATTACTATAATGGCTAAAAAAATTTGCAGTATTACTCCACTGATGAAAAAAAATGTATTACCAAAGTTAATTATTAATTGTAGAGTGTAAATTACATAAACAATGAGTAGAGCAATACAATTAGTTATGATGATTCGGATAAATAATCTATCAAATGTTTCTATTATATCATTTTTTGGTAGTTGGTTAATAATTATGTAAGAAAAAATTAAAGTGGAAATCATCAAAAACAAGCCTTTAAACATTAAATCCCATTCGAATTGAACCCAAATTTCAATACATGAGTCACGAATAATTTTTAAATATTTATAAGCAACCCGAGCAAAATTTTTCAAAGCTTCCTGATTATTAACTTTTGATACTTGTTGAAATAAATTCTGGTAATATTGATCGAGCTCTTGAAGGGTTTGTTCCGTAAATAAAAACGAATTCGCTGAATAAGTGTCAATGTACTTTTTTGTTTGATAAACATTCCTCCAAAGTGCATGAAGAGTGTGCGACACGTCTGATGTTTCTGATATAACTGGCAAAGCATCTGATATCAATGAGCCAATATTTGAAAAAGGTATAGGAATACCAAGAATTGAAGCAAGTGTTGGTACAATATCTATTTGATTTAGAGTTTTACGGTTTTGCCCTTCTATTGGATTTTGAAGAGGAGATTTTGAATAAATGAACAGACCAGCTTCAATTTCATCATCACTATCTCCACCGTGATCGCCAGTATCAGTCATACCATGATCTCCAATGACAAAAAAAACAGTATGATTATCGATCGCGTTTATTATTTCGTTAATGAGTTCATTAACTTCATTCAATTTTCGTGTCATTTCTGGATGATTTGGACCATGTTTATGGCCACAATGGTCAACTCCTAAATTATGAGCTATCAATAATGACCAATCATTTTTTTGCAGCTCAAAAAATATTCGACTCCGAACTTCTCTGTCCACAGTATCCAAATCACGGGTATTGAATGAATGTGCGGGAAATTGTCGTAAATATTTACCAGGAAATAAATTTGTCCAAGTATCGTCCCCCATAAATACAACTCCTTTTTCACCGATTTGATGGATTAAATTGTCTTCATCAACTTCTTCGGAAGCAAAATTAGAACTAACATCAATAAATGTTGGCAGTGTACCTGTTGTTATAGCTTTTATGCGTTGCATCGTTGTTGTTGGTGGATCAACAATACTTTTGTAAAGTCTTGAATTGTTTGGATATTTATTTAAAAGATGATGAACAGCTGGAATTTTATTTTGATAATATGGATTAGTGATGTTATCTTGCCAATCCAAAAATTCATATTTTAATGCATCCACGACTAATAATACAACTCTTGTACGGAATTCAGAACAAACTTCACCGGCTAGCTCAGGATTTTTTAGTAGTGTTTCGATGTTGTAATTTGCTAAATTTTTACATGATGTACAATTGCTTCGTTCAACTTGTGATATCCGAGTTAAAAAAAATCCATTTAGGAACAAAATTAAACCAATTACCATTAAATATGATATACATACTATAAATTTAAAAGATGATGAAAATTTATTAGCCATATTATTATTCTTATTATAACTATTATTATTAAGGTTATTTTTTAATATCAACTTTTTTTAAATTCATCGCCACTAATTGATAAAAAATATATTTTTCTACTTAAAGTTTTTATTTTTTATATTTTAGTTATATTCTGTTCCATTTTTATAATTTTTCAGCCGTGAATTACATTTGAATAATAATATTTATAAAACACAATAAACTGTTTACATGTGGCATGTGGCGAAATTATTAAATATAACTCTTCCTTTTCTTTTTGTTTTATTATTATTATTGTTAAGCCTTCATCTCCTCCATCTAGTGTTGAAAAATTTATTTCATGAATACCTTACTGTAGTTCTTTTGCCCGGGAGTATTGAAAAACTCAACTCCAATGAGAAAAAGGATTCATTTTAAACAAAAGTTTTATTTTTAAACGTCATTTCAAAAAATTATTTTGTTAGTTTTAAATTATTCCTCAAATTGACAGAAAATATACTATGATAATATTATAAAAGTGACTATTTCACACGTTAAAAAAACCCTGATAAGTCTACGCCGCGTGAATATAAGGGCCCATGCATTCACGCAGCGTGGATTTATCAGAGTTTTTTACGTCTGAATAGACATCTCCTTATATTATATTGCATTAATATTCGTATCCTACTGATTAAGTTTAATTTATTATTATTTTTATGAATCTATAATCAAGTTTTCTTCTAAAACTATGAAACAGTTTAATTGTTTATTTATAACAAAAATTCAATTCAATTTAATATTATTTTGTCAAATCTTATTCGTATTAATTTAAATTAATAATTAATCAATTGTAATTTGAGTACAGATATTAATTATTAGTTAATTTTATTTAATTTAACTAAAATATTATGTAAAAGCAAATTTAATAATAAAAATTTTATTTATTAATCATATCTTAAACTACATATTACTTGTACTGTATATATTATTATTATTATTATTATTCGTGACTCTAAAACAAGGGCCTATTGAATTTCACACGTGTCTTTTACGTTTACGACTTTTCAGACTTTTCCACATAGAGTTTCAAGTTTCGTGTAACGAGAAATAGTCCTGGAATCAATCAAGTATCTTTTATGGATTCCGAGAACTCGATTAGAATGTTATTTTGTTACGACACTGAAATCAACGGACATGTTACAATTTTTTAGATTTTTTAAAAATCACTAGAAAATCGAACGCGCTTTGCGCGATTCTGTCAAAATGATTATTATCGACAATTTAACTAATTAATATTTTTATATATTTTTTTACTCATTAATATTTAAACGTTGCCATGGTAACCGTTGCTATATATGATAACCATTGCTTAAGTGGTCACCATAGCAATGAAAAACGACAACAATGAAAACGTCACATCAATTTTTTAATAAAGGATTTTTATAACAATTAAATTATAATGAAAAAAAAATGAGTAAAAAAATTCCTCGTGTAAAAATAAAATAATATATTCATTATTGAAATTAATGATTTCATTAATTGAATAAGTACCAAAATCAAAGTGTCAGTAATGGGGTCCCCGCCACTAATGGGATCTTTTACCCTAGTGTTACCTGCTGGATGCAACTAGGTGTATCATTATCTATTGGTTTAGTGGTTTCTCTCGAATTGGCTTTTGTGATACAGTCAATGGGCGCGTTTAACCGGAGTAAGCTTAGGGAATGTTTCGATATGATGCCATGACCACGATATGCAAAGTCTGACGTCAATTACGCAGTAAGTGTAGGATAGAAATTGAAGAATTTTTTGTAAACAAATTCTAGGATTTAAATTTAAATTATTCCAACTTAATTCAAATTTATTTTGTTTCAATTAATATTTGAATATTATCATATCACGTACTTGAGATAAAATTATGATTATTTTAATTAATTAACAACACATATAACTGAAAATTAAAAAATTATTTTTGATACGGCAATAAAAATTAATAATTGCTAAAATTTAGTCTTCTAAACCATGTAAGAAATTTTTATTTGATTGAAGTGAAAAATTTTTTGGATGCAGAAAATTTTTACTTTGCAGAATTCATTATTTATTCAGTATGAAAAAGTGATTCTTAATCAATCAATCAAAAAAAAAAAAATTTTTTTTGCAAGAATCAGTATTTTTCTCAACTCAAGAAATACTTATCTTGACTGGAGCTTTTGTTATTTCATTCATTCTCGACAAAATTTCTCAATTTAAATTCTGAACGCCAGACTCAATCTGTGGATAAAAAAAAAATTATTGCACAAACACGTTGACTTTATTTAGTTTATTTCAAATACGATTAATTATCATTAATATCTACAATTATTTAATTATAATTAGTCAATTAAGACTTACAAGTACTTGACGTGAAAATTCTTAAAAATTACCTTTTTCGCATTTCTGTACTTGAGACAATGATGAAAAATGATAAAAATAAAAATATATTACAAAGGCGATTATGTATTAACTGAGATATTTTATTCAAGACCACCCTCCTCTTCGAGTTTTGACAAAAATTTAGTTACTCGATAGTTTGGATCTACTTGTCTAGCCATGTCTATCAGTCCCAATAGTTTCTTAATGCCGATGAAAATACTGTAATTTGATTAATAATATTTTAATTATAATAGAATTGACAGAAAAGATTAATTGCTTAAATTAGTTAAATGTTTTAAAAATTACCGATTTCCTTGAAGTTTAGCATGTAACATTGAAAGTTCTTGTTTAGTAAATACATCTTGGTCGTCTAATACTGCTAGTAAATGATCAGATGTTGATAAATTAGGCACGTGAAGAACGGTGTTAAATGCAGATATCAATTCCATGTCTTCTAAAACTTTTCTAAAAATAAAAATAAAAAATAAGAATATACAAAACAAATAAATTAGTTAGATGTTTGATATAATAGTTTTGATAAAGCACCTGTTACTGGTAGTACAAAGTACAAGTAATTTTTTTCCACGAGGTGGTTGTTTTTTCAACAAAACCAGCAACGCTTGAAGAGTCAGATTAGAGTATCTGGGTCCAATCGGCCCGTAGTCTAACAAACGTTCAATATTATCGACCAATATACAGCTGAGCTGTGAACGATAAGCATCGTCGAAGAATTTACGTATCGCGAGACACTTTGCAGTTTCTGTGTATCCGACCATGTCATCCGGAGTACAAACTTTTACGAATGGAAAATCAGAATTTTTAGCAATTTGTACAGCCAACGCAGTCTTACCACTGTTAGGTGGTCCTTCCAGTAAAACAGAGACCAAACTAAAGCCCTCAGAAGCTCGAGTCTTCCGAATATCTAAATTACCGTCAGCAATTATTTCAGCAACAGGACGACCCCAGTTTATGATTCCACGAGCTAACAAGTGGTCTAGTTCCTCTGCTGCAGTACCAAATGCCGGTTTCACATCGTTTTCGAGTGCATGCATAAAATCTGATCTTGTAATCATAAGTTTCTCCATTGCTGACGAGTCCAACTCGACTTTATTGGATACTTTTATAAGTTTGTTCATGGCTGTGCTCTGAGCTGCTCTTACCAAACCCTCTAACTCAGCACCACTAAAGTTTTTTGTAAGGATCGCCAATTCTTTCAAGTCGACATCTGGAGACATTTTATTGTATTCACGCATCCGTGATGTATGGATATTTAAAATTTGAAATCGGCCGTTTTCATCCGGCAAACTGATTTCCATTTGCAGTTCAAGTCGACCAGGACGTAGTAGAGCTTCATCAATCATGTCTTTTCGGTTAGTCATACCAATCACCAGAATATTATTGAGTTGCTCGACACCATCAATCTTTGAAAGCAGCTGATTGACAACAGTGTCATGAACACCAGTATTACCCGCAACACTACCACGAGATTTACAAATAGCATCAATCTCGTCAAAAATAATAATATGGAGCCCACTGTTTGGCCCAAGCTTTTTTTCTTCTTCTTCTGCATCAGAAAACAGTCTTCTTATGTTCGCTTCACTCTCTCCTACATATTTATCAAGAATTTGCGGACCATTGACGATCTTAGGCTCTCTCGCATTTAACATATTACCGATCTGACGAGCCATGAGTGTTTTTCCTGTACCTGGTGGACCATAAAGCAAAATACCCTTGACATGTTTGCAACCCAGTTGCCTTACAATGTCTGGAGGATATACTCTAGAAACAAAAGCTCGACGGAAAATATCACTGAACTCTTTATCAAGACCACCAATTCCCATTTTGGCAAAATCCCAGTCTGGATTAATTATCGATTGACGTACGACTTTTCCTTGAGCTTTTCCAACCAAATTAAGACTCGAGTTACTCGACTTCTCAAACTGAACCACCGTATCACCAAGACATCGACCTAATCTAATTTTCTCAAGCTTTGATTCTTTCTTTTCCTTGATGGCAGTCACATCAAGCCCCTCCAAATTCTTTACAAACAGTCTAAGTATTTTTTTATCACCAAACTGAAAAGGCAGTTGTTGTCCCACTGTGAATGCATGTCCAGAAAATTTCAAAAGAAAATCTTTGGCCATCAAGTCGGTATCGTATGGCTCAGTTGTTGTTCTGAAAGTTAAAAATTAATGTCAATCCTATGTTTCTCTTTTTTTTTTTTTTTTTTTTCTGACTAATTTTATCCATCAGAATAATTTAATTTAAATAAAAATAAAAAAAAAAAAACAAATACTTTGTTTTCTGCAGGAAATCAGCTTCTAATACAATAATACCTAAGAAATTTGAACTTGATGATGCATCGAATTGATACGGTCGGACATCGATCTCCTGGGTGACGGATAGCGCTGCCCATTTTCTCTGTGGTTCATTGAATGCTGCGCATCCTTGAGACACTTCGTTGTGTGTCTCGACGGTAAATACATAGTTTTGATTAGGTAATGTTGTTACCTCGATATATCTATAAAAAATTTAAATACATGTGGCTTAAAAAAAAAAAAAAAAAAATACTTTGCTAAAATGACAATACATACTTGACATCTTTTGGCAAGTCAACTGGGTTCACAAAAACACAATTCTTAAAAGTCAGCTCGACCGTAGGACATTTGTCAACTCGCATTTTCTACAATTAATATCAACTTTAGTAATAACAATCTATTTAAAGTTAATTAAATAATATATTACATATTATAATTCATAATATTACAATTACGTCAGCAAAGTAACAAACATATTTTGCAAGTAAACAAACAATGAGTTTTCTCATTCATTGATAATTAAATATTATTGCGTGACTAAACCTCGATACTTATGAATATATGTAATGTACATATTTTATTTTACACTCACCATCATTTTTACTCTATTTTTTAATTACCTCTTCTTATTGTCAATGATTTTCATCAAACTATTATATATATATATATATATATATATATATATATATGTATATTTGACAGTTACTGTCGACGTCATATGGAGACCCCTCCACCTCTACGGCGCTTTCTGTTTCATTCTTCCAACATCATTGGTTATGTCGTCACATGTACTTGAGTGTAAATATACCAATATATATATATATATATATATGTTAATCTTTGGGATGTCATTACATGGAAAATAGTATTCTATTCATTAGAATTTGAATTTAATAAATTAATTAAAAAATAATTTCAGCTTCAAAAATTATTATTGTTAATTCTAAATACAACAAAAGATTGGTTTTTATTAATAATTTTATGATTTATGATAACAATTTATGTTAAACAAATTTTTATTCTCATAATTTTATATTTTGAAATAACTAAAAATTTTTTAATTTAATGTGATGGATTATGTGAACATATATTATAATATAATATATAAGTATATAATATATACTTAATTTATATTCATACATACTTCCAATAAATTCTAAGCTCACATTACTTCTTCTCTGGACCCTTATTATTATTAGTATTATTACTTTAAACTACTTATTTTCATCTAACTCTAACTCATTCTAAATAAAAATGACATAACTTACGTCTATGTTTTATAAACCTTATCAAAAAAAAAAAAAAAAAAAAAAAAAAAAAAAAAGTTATGTTTGCTAAAAACCTGCTATATAACAAAATATTCAATACTAAGCACGTTTTTTAAATACCGTTACAATATTTAAATATTTCTGTTGTTATAAATGAAGATGCTATTCAAAAATTGGAAGCAGCTATCTCGACATGGTGTATATGGTACGCTGAAAAATTCCGACTATAAATAAAATTAATATTGGTATTGTTTGTTTTTGTTTTTATTATAAACTGTAAATTATAGTAAATATAATTAAGTCTTATTAATTGAGATTTATTCTCAATTATAAAGTACTAACTACATATATTTAATAAAATTATTATTATTTTAAATTTTATTGATGTCGAATTATAGCTTATTAATAACTCACTTGACAATATAAAAAAGGTAATGAAACAATTAATAATGTGGTTTATATTTAATATTATTTACAAGAATCCAAACAATCACCCTTGTGCTTTTTTATAGGAACTGCTGCAGCTGATGAATCGTGTGCCGAAGTTTCAGATTCTTTTTGTATTAACCTAGGGATACGTTTGGCTCTTAAAAACGCCGTGGATGTGACAGTTGACGTGGGTGTTCTTATGAAAAAAAGAAAAAAAAAATTAAAGTAAATTGAATATTAAATTGCTAATGGTTTATATTTTAAAAATAATAAAATTGACATACTTAGTAACAACCATTTCAACAGTATTGAATTCTCCAGATGTTGACGAACATGGTACAATAGTAAGATACGTTTTAACAGGACGATTTGGTGTCTCCTGTGAGTCGGGTTGCTGTTGTTGGTTAGTACTAACATTCGATGATTGTTCTTTCTCAATTTTGGATTTCTTAGCTTCACTCTCACCTTTTTGGCCCTTGAGATCAGACTTGTCCGAGGTCTCAGATTTTGGTTTAAGCTTGCCGTCTTGCGTCGGAAATTGGACCGTGGGTAGAATTATTTTTTTGTCTCCGTTAGTTTCATTCATTAGTTTTATTAAAAGGTTTGAAAGTTCTTCACGTTTTCTTGTAACTACTATCTCTTCAAACCAATTTTTCACAGACTTTATCGGTATTCTGTAATCTTTTATTGGATCCTGCAAAAATTATAACAATATATATGAAAAATACGTGTACTAATGATTTTTTTTTTTTTTTTTTACACATAACTATTTTATAAAAATATGTATATTGATTGAATTTTATATTTGTAATTTTAATTTTTAAAAAGAATTTTGATAATTCATATTAATCGCTGTATTTTTTAAATTAAAAAATGTGAAAACGTAAAATAATTTATTCACACACATATTAAAAAATTTTAAAAGCGACTGATCAGTTAATGAAAATAAATAGTAACTATACCTTGAAAAAACTTTCGACGTATTGTAATAAATAAAGCCCACAGTCAGTGAAGTTCGATTGCTGTGGAACCTTCGGACAGCTTCCCTTGATTGTATCCTTAGAAAAGACTTTATCTTTACCAAGTTTAGCCTGATATTCGCAACTCAAATAGTCACGAAGCGTGGCAACAACGCGAGACCGACTGGCACCTTTGAGAGAATCGAAAATTAAAATACAGGGCGATTTGACTGTTGGTTCTTCTTGCTGGGAGGAGACAATTTTTTTTTCAACAGGAGTAATCGAGACCTTAGCATTGGCATTGGCGTTTCCTTCAGCATTATCACTAGCTTCGTCATCTTCTTCACTGTCCATATCCATCTCATCCTCATCGCCTTCGGCCTCATCTCTCTCAGAATCCTCGTCATTTTGGTCGATCGTTATCGTTGGAGTAGCCACGGGTGTAATTGTCGTACTTCCGATAGTCAGCGTCTGAACCTTTACTTCTTTATTTTTCTTAGATTTTTTAACATCGGGATCTTTAGGGGGTGATGGGGGCAACACAGTGCCCACCAGTCCCGGGTAACAAATAATCGCTAAAAACCAATGAGCATGTTCGTTTATCGGAATGATAATAAAGTCTTTTTCAAAAATATTAACATTTTTAGTCCATTTTTGTACACGAGCATGGCGTTTTGCGGCTGGTGACACTGAATTGGTAATATCTGCTGATTGAGCATGACGACTTGTTAACCGTTTATAAAAGTATGAACTGAAAACATGTGTACGATGCTGATCAATGTCAGAAAGTACTTGGAGCGTTAGATACTTGAGATAGAAGTCTATTATAACGTCATTGAGGAATTGGTCTTCTCCAAGACAAGTGTAATCTTCGGTATTAATAGCAATACCGCTTTTTGCTGGCGGTGGTGGATAAACAGTCAACTTCTGGACGAGACGATCATTAGGACGACCGTTTACAATATTACCAGAATTAACAGTCGACGATGATAATGGTGGTTTCTTCACCATCAATGGCATCTGAGAGTTATCCTTTGGAGACGCACGCACCAAAATATCATTTGCTTCTTTAGCATTTAATTCATCCATCTTACTTCCCGGGGGGAATATCATTTTACAAACCTGCCTAGCTTCCTCGGATATTTTATCCGGCAGTAGCGTTATCCTCTTGTGCGTCTGATCCTTACCAGCTGGATCAAAGTACTGGCCCTTAGTGTCCTGCATTCCCAAGAGCTCGCGAATGTTTGCTCCACAGCTTGGATTTGTGTAAAAAAACAACACTGGCATTGCTTTGCCAAAATGTATCAGTACTTTTACAATTTCGGAGATCTTAACATTTATCGTGACACACTGATCCTGATCTTCGAGCAGAGGTACCACTAATCTTAAACCGTTCTTACTCAAAAATATTTTCTCCCGCGGTACGTACTTGTATGAACCTATTCTAACAGTGCGACATGTAAACGAAGTCTCGAGTTTTAAGTTTAGGTTGACGTTATCTTCACCCATTACATCACCGTTATTTTTATCGATTAAATCTAGCTCAGTATTTTGGACTGGCTGAAAGCTTTGTTCTTGTAACACTGTTTTATTATTCGTGATGACAGGTTCTTTCTCAGATATAAACTCCATTTCGTCGTTCATCATTCCGCTGCTAGTGATCAAGTTGTTCAAAGATTTATGCTGGGCCGTTGTTTTTTTACGGGAGCCACTGCCGTCATCATCACCGTCATCATCATCCGATGACAGAGTCAAGCACTCAGGTTCTTTTTGTTTAAGTTTACTAATTACCGCTGTAGATGGTGTAGATGTTCTAGGTGGTCGTCCACGTTTGCGTGGTCCCAATTCACGCTCGAATTTATTGGTTTCATTGCGTTTTTTGTAAAAGCTTTCAGTCGATATCATCTCTTTTTTCTGTTGACTTGTCGTTAGGTTCATTGACACCTGCCGCGAGTCACTTGGCAATGATTTTTTGCATTTGTAGCAGCGATTAAAATCATAGGAATGAGTGCCGCAGTAAGGACAGAGAGCACTTTGTCCCTCGATATACTTGGGCTCTTCGTGAGGAGGGCTGCTGTCTTCATTTGTCTGAGTGTTTGATTGGTTTTCGGATTGATCTGAAGTGTCTGAGGTGTCGTGCATCGTATGAATGACTCCAGCTTCGCTTTCGACGATATAATTAATGTTCAACGCAACATCTGTGACAAGTGATACTATTGTTTTACCGTTGAAAGGAATATCTACTTGATCTAGAAGATCCTGGACTGTACATTCTTCGGCGGGGATGTCAAATGTTATTAACCGCTGTTCTCTGCTAGCCAACACCACCAACATCTTGACAATACTGCCGCTTACTTGTTGCTGGACGATTGCGTTAACTGGATCTTTTATTGTTCTTTGAAGATAGACAAAACTTTCAGATCCTGCATCGCTGTCAGAGGGTGATTTTTGCTCCCCATGTGTGGTTCCAGACTTCTCAGGAGTGCCAGGGTAACTACACATTTCCATTTTTTCTGGACTCGAATCTGGAGTAGTTGGACAAGACGGCGTGGGTCTTTGGGTAGCTACCGGAGTAATTTGCTTCTGTGGCGTGATGGGTAATCGAGGTCGTGGAGAATTCACCACTGGCCGCTTCATTGAATTAAGTGCCATCAACTGCTGTGATGATATTTGTTGTTGCTGTTTCTGCTGTAATTGTTGGAGTTGGAGTTGTTGTTGTTGTTGTTGTTGCTGTTGCTGTTGCTGTTGTTGGTGTTGTTGGTGTTGTTGTTGTTGTTGTTGTTGTTGTTGTTGTTGTTGCTGCTGCTGCTGCTGCGGCTGTTGTTGTTGTTGTGGTTGTTGATGTGACTGTTGTTGTTGTTGCTGTGGCTGTTGATGTTGAGGAGAAAGACCTCGCATTAGCGGTGGTTGGGAAGCTTTTATTCGCTCGCTCAGGCAATCCATAACCTGGCGAACTTGAGGTGTCGCCTGTCGTGGAACTGGAGCTCGTGGAGTCAAGCTGCGACGAAGTGCCGCATTGTCACCGCGCAGTGGTGGCCTGGATGTCGGTTTCGGTGGGACTACAGCCGATATATTGGGTGAGAGTGTTGCCACTCGGACTGTCTGTGTTGGCGTGTGCCGTGGCGTTGACGTCCTGGCAATATTCTGAGAAGTGTTGGTCACAATTGGCGATGGATGCGATACTAATGGCGCTGGAAGTCTGTTTCTCGGCTTTGATACTCGTCCTTCTTCCAATTGAGCTAATGTTGTGACCTTCAATACAATATAGTTTTGATATTATTTAATGAACTAAGAGTAAAACTAAATTATAAAATTTTTTAACTTTTTATCGATTTCAAACTTAACGATCTTATGATCGTTTTTAAAAAATCAATTAAGCTGTGTATATAATGTAAAAATTTCTGAAATAAATAAAATATTAACGAAGTAATGTTTATTTAAATTTTTTTTTTCTTTTTTTACTTATGATAATAATTGGTTTTTTGAAGTTGAGTAAAAAATTTTATAAGTAGAATTGTACACTACTTATCGTACGAAATTAATATAGAAAATTTTTTTTTCTCACGAGCACATAACCTAATGGTTATAACTACTTGACAAAACTATATTTTTTTTTCATTTCTATCTTTTGTTTTAAATAATAAATAAACTAAGACTTACAGTTTTCTGAGCTTGATTATTCATAGTAAGTTGTGTTTTATTAAACGAAGTTCCAACCCACTGATTGCTTTTTTTATCATTCAAAGTATTAGAAACAGCTTTGGGAGCTTTTATGATTCTTGACGAACTGTCTCCAACAGAAATATTCTGTGAGCTCTCCGTTTTAAATGTACTCGGCTGTACTGATATTTCTCCAGATTCTAAAATAAAAACGTTCTGCCTGCAACAATAAAAAAAAAAATAAATAAAAAATGAAAAATCACGAAAGCTGAACTTAGATAATGCAAAAATTAAAGTAGATGTATAAGATAAATGTCATACCCGCGTTCAAGTGCTGCGGGACTCTGTGTACCAATAAGTGCTTGATGAGAATAGACAGTAGTTTCGTTATCATTAAACGCTGAGTAAGCTAATACGTTATTCTGATTACCATTATTAACACCATTATTTACGTTTTGAATAATTACATATCGTTGACCATCAACAACCGTACACAACTGTTGGCCATCTTCAAGCATAATCGGTAAACCATTATTATCAGTGAATAAATTATAATGTGCCATAGTACTACACACACACACAAATATCAATAATTATTCTCTCCTTCTATTATCCTTATATTTTTATTATCCTGGTTAATTTTCGCACTATTATTCAATCATCTGTCCATATTATCACCATTTCACCTGTTAAAATCCGTACTCATTTATTTATTCATTAGCTTTTTAACAATAATAACACATGCTATTTTACAACTATTTACTATCAATTGATTCAATTATTATAATTTAACTTTAAAATTATAATTAACTCTGCTGTCACATTTCGACTGATATATAAAGATTAAATATTAAAATAGTAAAAAAAAAAAAAAAAAGAAAAATAATAAATTTTCGAATCAATAATTTAAAATATTGCTAATTGTTTATAACAAGTAAAATAATTATTAAACGTTGCCAAATAACATAACATCCCATAACCTCACTGATAGTGGGAGCGGCGCGGTAAAATAATTTCTCTACATGCAACTACTTCAAGCTCACTTACAAACGAAAAAAAGTGATTCTTAACCACTAACTCATACCAATATCAACTACCGACCTCACTACTATTATCATCAATATAGTCATACGACACTTAAGTCGTGCTAAATAAAAAAATTATTTACCATGAACTTTAATTATGATTTTTGATAAATAATTAAAATCATGGCATTAGTATTGTTAGATAGACTCGTTACCAATGTCGGTTAATTCAACGATTAATAAATACATGTAACTACAGCTACTACTACTACTACTACTACTACTACTACTACTACTACTACTACTACCACTACTACTATTACCACCACGAAATTTATGATTCCAAATTACTTTTAACAATTATCAAATATCGCTAGATAATAATATTTGAATATCTAACAACCAATCAATAAATCCAGTTAATTCATTTTTACAAATAACAGTTCTACCGCCATTTTAGTGTGTTATGACGATAAATAAAAGTGATTTTATGCGGATAAAAGTAAACCGAAATCGAGAAACCTAACGTCCACTACTGTACACCCACATACACGTACACGGACACAGACGGAGATATAGCCAATGCATCGTCATCATACGCCGTAACCATTGCTGTTACAATGTATTTAATGGGCTCTCATATTTCACACGCTGATATTTCAACGAGCAATTATCGAAAAATTGATACTGATTAGTTGTTTTATTATTTAAGATTTAATATTTAATTATAATAGATATTGAAAACAATATAGTTAACATACCTGCGGACTGTTGGCGAATCCTGAATTGAGTTTTATTTCAGTATTGTACATCGGCCTGCGACCACGTGTTCTTTTAGTTAAGCTTCAAAAGGCGGGAAAATTTCAAATTTCATATTTATACTCTATCGATAAAATCGACGGTTGTTTACTCCGCCGGACGGTTAGTTTGTTTACAATTTATTTGACGTTTCTTTTGTCTACATTTTTTTTATTTACTCCTTTTTTATTGAATTTTATAGAATTAGAGTTACTTTAAAATTGCGCTCGTTAATCATAATTGCAAGTGCAACGATTAAATTTAAATTTAATTTTACTAATTTTTACTGGATTAATCAAACAAAAAAAAATGGGTTTTAATTAAGTAATTAACGGATTGTTAATTATTTGATTCGTGATAACAAATACGGTTGCCGAAAATAGATTACGGATAGTAAAATTTGATGTGAAATATTTTTAAAAGTTCATTTACAATTGCTTGTATAGTTGATTGATAATTAATAAGAAGTTTGAATTTTATCAGTCGACAAGGTCGTGAAGTCGATAACTGATAATTACATAACTAAATGTTGATAAGCCCTTCAATTGTAAATATTTCCTTGAATTAAAACTATTTTTGGTATTTAGTATTTGTTTTTGATTTTATAGCTTCAATGAAATTTATTTAAATTATATAATAAAAAAAAAAAACTTAAAGTTTAACAATATTTAATAATTATAATTTGAACAATAGAATTATGTTCCTTTTATTAAAATGAAACTACTCACGGAGAAGTGTCAAGTTTTATCAACTTTAATATCACTGAATTCAATATTCGGTTTTTAGATGTAAAATTCAATCTTATAAAAACAATGAAATTTCAACTTATGATTGGACAAATTCAATGGAATACAAGATTCAATGAGAACTTTGGAACAAAGAAAATAAATAATGATACTGAAATTTTTAGACGTTAGACCTATTTTTGGTATTTTCGAGTAATTAAATTATTACTAAAAATTATTTTTAAAAATTGCATTCATAGAATTTTTCTAATTTTTACAAGTTAATTTTTGATAATTCAATTAACAAAAATCTCAAAAATAGCCAGATATATTTCAATTTCAGTATCATAATTGAAAAAAATTTTTCAATAAGGTATACTGAAATTAAAAAAAAAAAAAAAAAACCTTGAACGTCCATTATAAAATATAACTTAAAATTTTCCATCATCCACCTGAATAAGAAAAAATTGTAAATCTACATAATCTTTTCAAATAATCAATCTATGTATAAAAAATCCTATTATCCTAGTAATCTTTGATATCAAAAGTCGGATCAAAACTTAGTAGATCTACTAAAATTGGCAGGTTAATCTCCACCTTCTACGATATAATCTATATACATTTGGTTTTTTTTGTCTTTTTTTTTTTTTAAGTAAAAATATAGCAATCAATCCTTGAATAAAATATCTAACAGGTTTCAAACTGTACACTAAATACTTCCCATATTATCATACGTGATATTAGTATTTAGTCTTCATCCCCAAAAATAAACAAAATATTGACATTTTTGTCATTAATTTTTGCTGAAAGACAGTGGAATCTTTCTTAATCTCAATTGAAATTTCTTCTGAGCTGATAGATCTAAATCCTTCCACACCATGTTTTGCTACAAAAAATTTTGCAATATGAGTACTTATAAGGATAATTGTTGAATTACTAAGTAGTCAACTTTTATAACCTCTAAAAAATTTTTTCAAGTCATGCATTAACATAAATTGATTGTTACCTTGCTTTTGTTGAAAAAGAGGAAACAATGTTGATTACAAATGAGTCGAATTACTTAATTAATTAAAATACATTTTACTTTATTTATTTTCAGCAGTAGACGCTACGCCGATATGTGGGTCGTTATAACAATCACAATTATGGAGGGAAAAGTGTGCCTAAACTTAATGTTCCGCTCGGTAAAATAGTGACTTTTTCAGTTCGGCTCGGCCGGACTTGAAGACTTCCTAAGATAAAGTGCGGGAGTAATGGAAATTCAAAAATTTAACAGTTACTGTTGATAAAACAGAACAAATGGCTACGTTGACGCCGCAATCAGCTGATTAGCACATTGCTGTTGTTTTTGTTATGAAAAGAGGAAAACGCCAGAACAAGTGACAGAACGGACAGAACAATGTCTCTGAAAAGTTTTATTCATCCCAGGAACAAGTACAAGGACCAACCAAATTTTATAGAACTTTCTAAACTCTACCCCGAGTTCCAACAACATGTTTCTGTGGTAAGTTAACCTTCCAGTTTATTTTGGTGAAAAATTATAGTAATCCTTTTTTTTTGTAGAATCTAGCCGGTAAGGTACAATTTAACTTCAACAGCGAGGAAAGTCTAAGAGTCTTGACACAAACTCTGCTCAAGCATGACTTTGACCTGGATGTTAATATTCCACCGGATAAACTGGTACCGGCGTTGACACTCCGTCTTAATTATGTATTATGGATTGAAGATTTGATGAACTTCGCTAAGATAAACGAAGTGACTGGAATAGATGTTGGTACTGGAGCTATTGCGATCTATCCGTTACTTTGTTCTAAGATTTACGACTGGAAAATGATCGGTTCGGACATTGATTCCGCGGCTGTTACGTCAGCCAATGAAAATATTCAAAGGAATAAGTTGGATCACCTTATAAAAGGTATTAAATTACTTGATATTTTGAGCTGTCACATTAAATCGTTGTTACTTTTGATGACATGTTGTTCACTTTTTTTTTTTTTTTTTTTTTTTTTTCTTTTTCGTACAGAATTACTCTGTATCTTTGATATTAAAAATTGATGAATTTTATAAATAATTTTTCAATTTCAACTATCGAATAACTTATCAGTAATCAAATTAGTTTTAATCAATTTTATAACGATTAAATATATATTTCTCATACTTAATGAAATTGTTATTGAGTATAGTAGTGAAGTGAAAAAAAATTATAAATATTCGAAAATTAATAATATAGTGATTAAATTATTGTTGTTAATGACTAAAAGAAAAATTAGTGATTTTTTTTTTTGCAAAAAATAATTAGTTTTTCAAACGTATAGTAATAAGCCAATCAGACAAAAGTCAATAAAATTTATGGTTCTTTATGAATCTACTATAAATTAATTTTTTTTTAATTGATTAAAAATTGATATTTTTTCACATTAATCAAAATAAAATATTTAACATCATAGCAAATTTCAAACAATATTTTCAATAATGTTTATTTATTACAGTAATAAGAGTTCAGGGAAAGAATATATTCAAAGATGTTGTAACAGAAGAATCATACGCTTTCACTATGTGCAACCCTCCGTTTTTTGACGCTGACGATGATAAGAAAAGAGAAAAACGTTTGCCGCCAACAAATGCAAAAACAGGCCACGCCGTCGAGCTGTCTGTCGCTGGTGGTGAGAAATCCTTTGTGCGTCAGATGCTCGATGAAAGTTTAGAGCTAAATGGAAAAATAAAAATATATACGACGATGTTAGGTCAGAAAAATAGTTTAGCGTACTCTAAATCTGAGCTGAGGAAAAGGTACATTGATAATTTTACTTGGACTGAATTTTGCCAGGGTAAAACTAAAAGGTGGGGTCTGGCTTGGTCACTGATCCCTAAAATAACGCTAGATTTATCGAAAGCGCCAGCTATACGCGAGAAATATTCTCATATTACATCATCAAAATCCAAAGATAACTCCGCTCCGTTGCTGGAAGTGTTTTTTCCATTTAATGATAGTTTTAGGGAAGTAAAAGATGTAATCATTGCTGTAAAAAAATGAGTCGAGTCGTTCACACCATTGCGAGAATAGTCAGGGAAGCTTTCTAGGTCCTCAAGACGTCGAGATGTCGCATATCATTATGAATCATATATTTAGGATTTAGAAGTATTTGGTAGTATTTAAAATTTTCAATCATCTTTAATCCTAATTAATCATATTTTTAGGATTTATAAGCATTTGAAAGTATTTAACAGTTTAAATCATTTCAAATCCTGTTAAATCATATTTTTAGAATTAAATAGTATTCAACAGAATTAAAAAATTTGAATCATGTTGAATCCTTTTAAATCATATTTTCAGGATTGGATAGCATTCGTGAGGATATAAATTTTTTTAATTCTATCAAATTCCTTTTTTTAATCAGGGATATATTAGTCTATATATGATTATATATATTTTATATAAAAATTTAGATATAACCATACATAATTATATATAATTCTATATATTCAATATATAATCATATATAAATATATATAATTAGGCAAATTCATTTTTTCCCGGGTACTCGTTTTTTCTCATTTTTATCTATGTAGATAGTTAATTATTCGTTTTATTTTCCACTGTAAGACGTCACTGGCTCCCAACTGTACGTACAGATGGAGACATCTATGACCGTGTAAAGATTAAAACTACAAATTTTGGAATCCCTCAATATTGGCATCAAACTGTGTTAACGACTGAATGTCATTGTGACAAAATTTGGAAGATTTTATAGATTTTATTCGTAAACTTGACATCAATCGTAAAATAGCATCTTAATTGTGTATTATTGGTTGTTACGCGAATAGATTTCTACGTTAGTGATTGGTCACAATTTGTGTTTTAGTTCATTTTTTTCCAGTAATTGTAATAATAGTAAGGCCTATTAATTTTTATTCAATACTAGGAAAAAGGAGTTACAAAATTTTGGTACGTAATATAGATCCGGAATATTGATTTTGAAATAATTAATTTATTAATCAAAACATAATTTTCAACTATCAATGTATATACGAATTTCATGACGTTGATAGTTGTTTTAACTGTTAAAAAATTGAAGTTAATTCCTAACCTCAATATTTTATGGCTACAGATTTTTTTGCTTCTATTCAGAATTATTTAATATATATGGAGGAATTGTGAAAACGATAATCATATTAGTAGTAATAACGTTATCAGTTTTGTTGTGATCAAAGTAGTTAGTAATATTTACCTAAAATTGACCTATTTACTAAATTCTTTTAAATAATGATAATGTTTGTGAAAAATTCTGTTGATTCTTGATAAGTTATTTATACTTATTTTTTAATTAATTAAAGACAATATTTTATGACTGGTTGATAGTATCTATCAATTTTTTACATTAGATGATGAAAATAACAGACATTTAACAATTTTAAGGATTTTTTAAACTAAAATTTAAAAAAAAAAACAGTCCACATGCAAGAATTTTAGAAAACTGAATTATTATTTTTAGTCAATTATATAAGAGAAATTTTAATTAGTATAAATTTGCAAGCCATTTAGCAAATTTTAGAAAATTTTACGTTTTTAGAAACATTAAAAAACACTCAAGAGCTGTTATAAAGTATTTGATCATCTGTTTTCAAGGTAGTAATTTTTTAAATATTCGAGATTGACTTACTTTTTCAAATTAGAAATCTATTTTTTTCAAAATATGTGCCTTTTTTAATTTTTGGTGAAAACATTTTTAGATTAAGTTTGATACACAAATTTCTTGATTAAGTCCAATCATGAACAAATAATTAATTTTATTTTTTTTCGTCTTTGTTTATGAGTAATTCATGTCTAAACTTGACTATAAACTCACGTAAATTATTGAAAAAAGATTTTTTTTCTATTCAGCAACAAAAAAAAAACTCCAAAATTTCTTGTATCACATTTAATAGTTGTACTTTGAAAACTTATTTTAATTAGTTCATGTTTCGAATCTGTAAATTTTTAACACATTCGAAAAAAAAAAAAATATTATACATTATAGTAGAATTTTAAACTTTTTATATTTAAATATATATGCTTGAAAGAAATAAACTGAAAAAGGTAATAGTTGTTGTGTATTATTTCAATTTCAAAATGTTGAAAGTTTTGAGAAAAAAAAATAACGTAACAAATTATGTTTTCTGTTGACAGTTTTTTTGTAGTAATATACATTAATTTGATAGATGATCTGTTTTACAATAGAGAAATAATTAATTTTAAAATACTTCTAATTGGTTATACGAAAGTTGCGACTTGAATTGAATATTTTTAAAATGATTAAAAAACGAAAATTGTTTATGATGATAATTAGTTAAGAGAATAATGATAATTATTTAAATTTCAAATTAGCAACTTAATTTTACAAATTTAAAAAGTTCATTGTAAAATTTAACAAAATAACTAACATTACGTGATAACATAATTTATAAATTGATTTTTTTTTTTTTAATTCTAGGAATTGTAGCTGTACTTTGAATTAACCAACAATGGAGTCACAAACCGGTGGGGTAAAACCCATGCCAATTGCTGGCCGCTTGGTTCGTGAACGAGAACGTCTACTGGGTATGACAGATGAAGAGCGAGCGTGGCGAGCTCAGTGGTTAAAGGATCAGCATCTTGCTCCAGATGAACCTGTTTATAATCCGGAATATTACAAACAACGTTACAATCCTATCAGAAGATTTTATCGGGCACCCCTAGATAAACTTGAAAATGCCTTATTACCAAAGTATGGTCCAGACGTTGCTTATTTCTGCCGACACCTAATCAGCAAAACATTTTTTGGAGTTTTATTCGTATACTCCGCTGTATATTATTTTAAATACAATCAAGGTAATTGGACAACTAAAAGTGGATGGAGACTCAGTAAGTCTAGACCTGTTGTTCTGCCAGATTTTCCAGGATATCCTAATTATCCAACTAAATCTGATCGTCAATATGCTTCTCATGGTTTTGAAAACTCTCCAATATAATTTTTTTCATCATTTATTCTATAAATTAATAGTGTATTCAGTAATTGAAAATTATTAATATAAAAATTGTTAAAAGTTTAAGTTGTTATTTTATTGATTGTAGTCACTATTACGCTATTATATTTATTTGGTATACTTATACATAAAATATTTTAACATCAATTTGTGTTTTCATTTGGTGTAAAAAATTTCACAGTAGTATTTAAATAAAATATGTCGAGTTAGTTTAAATAGAGAAATGAATATTACTGATAGCACCAGATATCTGCAGATTTTTTGGAGTTTTTCAATCTATCTATTGATAATTATAACACATTATTGTAAGACATTAAGTATGCATGCAAATTTTTTATTGTTATTATTCATGTGTTAGAGAAACTTTAAAATTTCCGGGTGTCTGCTGAATTGAAAAACGTATAAATTTCTATGTAATGATGAAAAAATATTTTTAGTAGATTTCATAAAAATCTAACTATTGCATTTGTCCTCATGATGCAACTTTTAAAAAATTTCGTTATATTTCGACTTATCTCGACGAGCTGAGTCAAAAAATACATATGTTTAAAAAAGTTATGTATTTATATATATATAATTTTCCTTCAAATAACGTTTGAATGCGTCGAGATATTTGAATTCTGTAAAATGCTTCTGAAAGCTGAGAAAATAAGCTCCAATTTACATGTATTTCGAGACCAAACAATATCTAATTTTAATTCAATGAAATTTTACTCTTGCAGTCGTTTGGTTTGGCTTGATGGTTGAAATTTAATATTAAATAGAAACATTTCCAAGAAGTTGATATTAGAATTCTACTTACAGAATTCATACTATTGTTGTAACAAAACCAGCAAATGTTTATTTTGAAAAAAATTAGTTCTAAATAGTTTTTAATTAATTACTGAATTTTTTTTCTAATGAATGAATTAAATTAAGTTATATTTTATTATTAATATTATTTTATAGAAAATAAATTTTTTTTATTCGAAAAATCTACTTCCATTTCGAGTGCCGAAGGGCCTTTTTTATTTTTTTGAAATTATTCTAAAAACATGAAATTTTGTAACTATTATACGAATTACACATTTTTTACAAATTTTACAAAGAAATTATTTCTATACATTTCAATGATCGTGTAAATTTCGAAGTAAATTATTTATTAAACCGTTTTTGTGTTGGATATGATGAAAAATTTTAATTGTTCAAATTCGGTAATGTTAATTTTCGAAAATAAAGTTTCCATCAGACTAAAATACTTGAATATTTAATTCGTAAAGTAAGTAGTTTTGAATTTATTAAAGAGACAAAAATAAAACGAATTAGTTATTTATATACCATCAATTAAAAATAAAATATATAACTTTAGTTCTTATAAAACGTAGATACTGTTCCACCGATCAGTTTTCTGTAATTCTGTATCACTAGTTGTGCTCAGAAAACTGAATAATAAATAAATTACTTATTTAAAAAATATCAATAGTGAAAAAAGTTCAAACAATTGATTTTTTAATTTAAATATGTCATCACGAAATTCGCGAGAACTCTCGATGCTGTTCTACTGCATCTTGTATTTTCTAAATTTTTAAAAAATTTATTTTTTATTACTGATTTAATGTAAAAAATTTATTTTTTTTTTAATTTCTCGAAAATAGAAATTAAAAATGATTACTTATTATGTACAATAGTTCTCCAAAACTTATATATTATAATTATCTTCAGATGTTTAATTGCGATAGTAGTATAAAAATTTATGCATTTGAATCGGAATAATAATCCATATATTTCTATAAATTTTAATAGTATAATTAAAAGATTGGACGTGAAAGAAAAGAGTATATATTATGAATTTACTTTATTAAGACATTTTGAAAATATTTCTTTATAAAAAAATATATTAAAGTGTGAAATCTACATAACTAATATATAAATGATTAGTATGCTAATTAGTATGGAACTGCAGATTATTTTGTGTCTTCTGGAGGTGTTGAAAAGGCTGCCGTGTTTTTGTCGAGATTTAAAAAGTGTGTCAAATGCAAGATTGAAACAACGCTGGTTATGTAAGTAGCCACATCTTCCTTTTTTATTGTCCTTAGCTGAGCGGCAACTGAATGGTAAACACGATTTGCAGTTTTAGATGACAATTGGCCAATTGTTTGAACTGCATGTAAAACTTTATTTTCATCTGCTGATACTGGAGCTGCGTTTGAAAATTTTATTTCTATTTAATTTTAAATAGTGATTTGTTTTTCAAATAATAATAATAATAATAATAATAATAATAATAATAATAATAACTTCCCGACATCTTTATTAGTAAATAAAATTAAAGGATTTAAATAATATATTGATAATACCTGGTTTAGATTCTTCTTCTTCAGTAGGAGGAAAATAATGATCAAGTAAATTATTAACAAGAGTGCTAGTATTATCTACACCCTGTATGGCCATGGCACCATAATGAGTGCTTAGAAGTTCATTGGCTTTATCTACGCTTATTTTCTTGATCACATTTGCCTGTTGCGTAGCTGATTCTTTCGCAGCAAGTAATTTATTTATTGTAGGCTGAAGAGAACTATTTAAGACTCTTCTGGCTGCATCATATACCTTTAATGTAAGCAAAGAAATTAATTTTTACTTAAATTAATATATTATTTGAGACGATAACAGAAGGGATTGGAGTTAAGAGAATGAGTGAAAAAAAAAATTTTGTTTTGAGTTGACAGTGGTTGTAAGAACAAAAATTTTGCTACTTTAAAAAAAAAATATTTTTTCCACTTATACCTCTCTAGTTATAACCTCTGTAATCAATTTATCCTTACTCACAATCAATACAAGCTAATTGTAGTAAAATAAAAAAATTTTAATTTTAGTATTACCTCTTGAGTAGGTTGCTTGAAAATAGGAACTTTTTGTTCAACAATGTTAAGTCCTTGACACAGTTTTTGATCCACAGTATTAATTTGGTCCTCAAATTTTTTAGCAAGAGGTTTTGCTATTGGAGCAGCAGTTGCTGTTGCATAGCATAATCCTGCTTCAGCATAACTCAGAGCCCAATTAATAAGATGATGTGATCCTTTCAAGTAAGAATAAGTTGAGCCGGTTTTTTCGATCGCCGTATGAACTGCTGGAATATTTTTTACACGATCCAATACTTCAAGATGAGGCCCGTCACTAGTTGCACTTTGCTCGTGGTCGGCCATTGTTGCTGAGTAATAACTGTTATTGAGTGTATAAAAATAACGTTAATAATTAAATTATAAAATATGTCACAAGAAAACAGATAAATATATAATTTTATCTAAAATATAATAAATTTGAGACAATTATACTTATACTTAAATGATGTCTGTTATTTTATTTTATTATATGATGAAAATAAAAAAAAATTTATTATAATTATTACGTACATTTTTATTGATTGCTATTATTTGTAGTGAAGAAACAAAATATATAAATTTTTGATACAAAAAATTGATAACTTAAATCGTAGTGTAAGAAGGTTATAAATATACTGGACTTTAATCCGTCTGGAACAGTCTATATACTTAGTGTTGTATATTGTATATAGTAAGACAGTATTCTTGCAGTACAGAGGGGGAAATCCAGTGATGTAATAATTGTTAGGTTCGTCGTTACTCATATCTTAACAGGCGAGACCATCTTTTTCTCGCTTTGCTCTCACGGAGTTCAACGGAACTATCTCTGTCGCACTCCCAACAACAGAGCAATTGCAGTTTTGATTGGTTTCACGAAACGAATGAAATTTTTGAAAAAAATTTTTTGTGGTGAAATAGTTTATTAAATTATCTATTATCTGTAAAGAGGTTTTTTCGAAATTTTCATTCGTTTCGTTTAGCCGATTGAAACTGCAATCACTGGTCTCGGCTGTCTTAACTAAGATTCGACAGTATTTAATTATCGATTATTAAAAATGAATATCATTTTACATAAAAAAATATATGCGCTACTTTATTTGAGTAACTTTTCAAGCGTATAAAAATGCATTAATAAAAAAAATCAATCATGTTTAGTATGGCCATTAGAATTTTGGATATCTTTTTTTTCAGTAATTTTTTTAGGTCTGATAAGAAGTTCATTGATACCATGTAGATATTGAGTAACGTGAAGAAACTCAACTATATATACAATTTAGCCGTTAAATATATAAATATATATATATATATATATATATATATATATATATATATA